TTTTAAAAAATTATTAATATATTATTTCAATACATAAAAATATATCACAGCTAAAAAATATTACTTAGCTCGTATTTATATTTGCTCATAGGGCACTTAGGCAATACATTGTAAATTCATTAGTGACTAAATCTATACAAAACTACGAAATTGTATTCTTAAAATATGTGATCTTGCAGCACTTTGTAACAAGCGCAAGATCATCGTCAGTTGTAGTGTTTCATTGAACTCATTGAAAATGATTTATCATCAATATATGTTTATAATTGTATAGAATTACATATATATTATATACGTTTGTACATATGTATGTGAATAAGGAATTCGTATTTGTATAAGATATACATATGTATGTATGTGGCAAGTGCTACAATTATTTATGTTAAATTTTAACATTATAGTGCGTATATATTTACAGTTTTACTTAACTTACTCTCTTGCATGTAAGATTAGAGTGCATATGCTATTTAAAGTCTGTACGTATTACTGATATATTTGAATTAGCAGAGGAAAACAGTTTCATTTACAAACAAAATCATTATTGTAAGTTTAGTATTTATTAAGTAAAGCGAGTATAATAAAAAGTAAATATATTGAAACTTTAAAAGTGTATTATTTATTGTTTATTTCAACTAACTGTTAGAGGTTTCCGATTGAAAATTAGGGTTAATTTTCGATATTAAATTTTCGACATAAAAATTTTGATTCAAAATTTTTTTCGATATTATATTTTCGACGAGAAAATTTTTAATAGAAAATTAGTATTCATTTCGATAATTAATTATCGACGKGATATTTTTGATTGAAAATTTGGGTTATTTTTTGGATATTAAATTATAAATACGAACATTTCGATAAAAAAATTTGGGTTATTTATCGATATTAAGTGCAAATAAGGACTTCGGTTTTARCAACCCAAAATTAACAGGAAACATCCTCTAACAMCACAGTCGCAAAATTACTGTAAAACTTTGTATTTTGAATAAGAAGTGCGAATAACGGTTGAAATAGTTTCTCTTGCAGACCTCAGATCGCCCGTAAATTAATTTTCTTTCAGTTTCATGGCACCACATTTTTTTGCTTTCAAAAATTAGCGCCTTTTGGTCTATTAGAGAAACTTTTAAGAATAAGTTCGAAGAAAAGTCAAAAATTAATGTTATCGAAAATACGAAAATTTAAACCGAAGTTAATTGACTCACGAATATTGAAATACATATACGTAGATGACTTTTACATAAATAATAGAGAAAATATTACTTATACGCAATGTACCATTAYGCATAGAAATTATTTTTATTTATTTCGTGTTAGTAAGGTAAAATAGCATGCTAACGGCTCGTTCGATTAATTGTTTGAACTCAATACATTTTATTAATGCTTTTCTCAATAATCACAAATTAATGCTTTTGTAAATACATATACCAGAGAAAATATTACTCATACGCTATGCCGCACACAATGAGTTTTTTTGGTGATTTCGTATAAAACGTGCTTAAATTGGGTGGCCTGGATATTTGATTGCTTCTGAAATTAAATTTTACCAACTTACACCATTTTTACTTTCAAAGACTTTCTTTCGCGGCCTCAAGCAGCATACAAACACCGCGAAATGCTTGCCATAAAATACATATGTAAATGCAGCTGCGGTTTTAAAATTTAATACAAATAAATCAAGCAGCTAAAATCTGGCATAATGCAATACTCACAACATGCACACATACATTTGCGTTACGTTATTTTGTTATCAAATAAAACCCACAAGCTGCAAGTAAAAATGAAAATTGCTATGTAAATTCGTACGACCGGATCAGGGCTTATGGCGCAACGAAAATTGAGTTGCCAACAAACACTTACAGAAGATGGAGAGGAAATGGAATACAATCACAAAAACAAAATAAACAATAACAAAAAAATATTAAAAAGCAGTGCGCTAACGCATTGTGGTGCGACTTCGCAAACGATATGTGGCGTTAGTGTCAAAGTGTAAATACTCATACAAGCAGAAGACAGMGTTAGGGTATACAATTTCATATCAAGTAAATGCTACATACATTTGTTTTTAAATATATTTGCACACACGTATGCAAACTTTAATACTACTAAGTTTAGAAGCACATTTGCCACAAATCAAGCGAAACGTACTAAAAATKGAAAACTAATGCAGACAGAAGAAAGTTCCATATATGGTATATAGTACCTATGAGGCAAGATGTAAATGCTGTGTGAAACCGATTCCTCAATCGATGACGTTGGAGCAGACGTTCCATTGCCCGACCAAGAAGAAGTTGCAATAGCAATTATTACTAAAGAACTATTACTAAAGAACAAGAAAGGGGCGCGGCAAAGAACTGATAAGGGCCATGCTTCAGCTTCTTTGTGGATGAAAGCATGCCCGACTGTTGGAATATAAGTGTGCTCTGCCCGATCCACCAGAAAGAGAAACCCCACAATCTGCGCCAACTACCGTGTTATATGCCTCCTGAACATCACAAAAAAGGTTTTATCGAGAATATTGTCTGAAAGATTAAAGCCCAGCGTCAAMAAACTGTTTGGATATTTCTGTTTGGTATCCCCGAAAAATGTTTACGGCTATGTAAACTGACATTGAACAATACCGAAACTTCCGTCAGGATCAGGAAGGACCTTCCCGGCCCGTTCAATACCGAACAAGGTTTCAAACAAGGCGACTCCTTTTGTGCAAGTTCTGAAACTGAAAGCACTCCAGCTCTGAACGAATTCAACGCAGTACCCGACGGGTGAAGCAGATGATGAGGACGAACTATACTTCGTTGGAAAGATCAGATGGAAAAGTATATGGCTACACTTAGCATCTTCAATTGGCTCAAAAAAGCGAAAAGGAAAAACGATTGGCGCGCTGTTGTAAACTTGGCTGMAACCACGTAAACGGTGTCTACGCCAATAAAGAAGAAAAAGATTCATCTAAATATCTGTCAGGCYGTGGACTTTTCAATTGACCTGTTAAGGCACCAACTTTCGAAGCTTAAAGCAATAATCACATCATATTGTATGTATGTATGTGTGTAACGTTTATATACCTATATGTAAGCCAGACTAAAGCTCTTTCTAA